TTTTTTTTTGTTTATCTAAATATTTTTTTCTGCTAGCTGTGGATATTGATTTAAAAGTAATTAGTTAGTTCAGTATGACGACATCATTATATACTTGGGGCATGGTCACCACTAATTAGCTATACATTATTAATTCATAACCCGTTTATTCAAGGTCCCCACCCCCCAAAAAAAAGTAGGAAGTATAATTTTTGGTGCTATATATCAAGAAACAAATGTTGTCTGCCTCCTCCCTGTGCTTTTGTTTGAGGGGAGTAATCAATTATCTCGGTATGATGTCATTCTGCTAACCCTCCCCCATACAGTCCTGCTCTCTTCCATTTGTACACTGGCTGCTCTGTTGCAGTAAGCATCAGATCAAATAAAAGAAATACAAGCTAATGTCTGAAGTTGGTAAAAATATCCTGAGAAACCTTATGTTCCATTGTGTCATAATTTGGATAGCAAGATTTGGCACAGTTTTTCTAGATTTATACATGCACTCATACAGAAGGAAACAAGCTACATTTGAGTGACATGTATACACACCCATGTGGTTCATCACATCAGAGAGCAGTAATTTGATTAGTGCTGAATGAATCCCCTGGCTTGATCATCTGTTCTCCATGCTCAGTGGCAGGGTAATTGAATGAGGGACAGTAATGAAGAGACATACAAGCAACATGAAGGGTAACATGGCTTCATTCTCTTGACTTTAAGATAACACCTTTGTTACGACACCGCCAAAATCACCACGCAGGTCAGAGGGTGAAAAACAAATATGCACCGATGCTGTATTACTCAAAGCATCTGCTTCACAGCGGAAACAGACAGGGAAGTGTGAACATTTATGCTACTATGTTTCCCCAGGGCTGTGAGGCTGTTAGCTGTTGCTCTCCCCCTGCTTTTAGAGCAGTCCCCTTCAGCATTATGACGATAATCCACTTAACCTCTATGTTTCAAGATCCCAATGTACCTTGCCTTGTTTTGGCACTGTGTGTGAGGCCGAGCTGGGAGACAGCAAAATGCAAGGTGGATCATCTGTCCCTGCCAATTTTCCCGGGGTGTTTCCTTTTCAGTTTCCGTACCTTAATTATGAGAGCTATTTTGGAGAAATAAAAAAGGTCAATTAAACTTGAAAACTTTAATATCTATCTATCTATCTATCTATCTATCTATCTATCTATCTATCTAT